CTTTTCATTTATTTTTATTAAATTATGTTAATAATATTTTGTACCTAAGTGTTAGTTTGATGTAAAATTATTTTCAATATTTACGAATATAAATGTTCATAATTACATTCTTACACTCAAGTAGGACTGCAATAATAAAACAAATAAGTATATATTATACCTATATAAATTATTAAACTACTAGCATAACATCAAGTTTAATTTTTATTTACAGGTAAAAGTTTAGATATAATATATATTAAAAACTTACTCAAATCAAAAATCAAAATATAATTTCAATGAATTATTTTAGCGTGACATTGTCATAGAAAAGTCATTATTAAAGCAAATGGTTTCGTGATGTTTATTCCAAAAATGATTGTGAATTTATGTTATTTATGATTTTTAAATGTCACGCATAATAGTTTTCCCAATTATTATTTTCATAACAAATTCACCATGTGATAATTGCTTATTGACTTTTGTTTCATTAGTGAATAGTGACGTTGAATCTCTCACGTGTGACAAAATTACAGAAAGATATTGTTTTTTTGTTGTTTAACTACCACGACGAAAGCGTATTGCCAATTAAAACCTAAGCATTTAGACCACACGCCATATTTCATCATCGTAAATAAATTTTTTAAAAAAATGAGTTAGGTATAAACTACATTTTTTATTTCTATACATGAATACTGCAGTAACACGCGGTTGGCCACAGTTGCCGAGGACTGACTAAAAAAAAAAATGCGCAGTCGTTGTTTAAAGTATATTATAGAAAGACGGATCGTGTATAATATTATAATATATTTTACTCTATGCTCAAAACATATTGGAATAGTGTCAATATATTATATTTTGATGTTAATTTGACATTTCTTGTCAATCATTTTGCTGTTCATCTTCCTAATCGCGATACAGTTAATACCATAGTTATATTTATTTATTATTATATTTAAACCTTATTATTTAAAATTTTTACTTATTGACATTTCATCATTAGTTCATCAGGTATCTATAGAATCAGTAATAATATGGGACTTGAAACGGGGACAAAAGAAAAAAGAGAATAATACTTAGCTAGTATGTATATAATATTATCACTGTAAAATGTATACAATATTTAGCTTTGTATCAACTGATTTGACATCAAAATACGCTTATAATATGATAGATTGGCAATATGACTATTAATTAGTATTAATGTTTGACTGTTTTTGTTAGTCTAAGACATAAGACTTAAAATTGTGTTTACTGTATATAATTGTGTATGATATATTACCTATTTGTATGATAAATTCGTCAATTAATTATGTTTAAGTATAAAACGTTATAATATTTCGTTTTCTGATTGTTTTTCAAGAGAATTGTTTAGTATTTAATTTTTTTTTCCCTAAACTGTGTTGAGTTTCAAACGAAACGCTTGTCAACTTTATTGCATTTGTATATAATTTATTTTTTTAAACTAAAATTTTTATACTGCGCGTTTCGTTAAAAAGGTTCAGATGTGCTGCACGTGTGTACTTATACTGCAGTGACCCATTTCAGCTGTACAACAGTTTAATGTAAAAAATAAATATTTTTAATACATATACATATATTGCATACAAATGGCTGTCAAATAAGACATACCAAAAGGTTTATATTGTCCAAATTTCATAATAAACACGATATGAGTAATTCAATTTACCATAGAAGAGTTTTAAAACACAATCAATCAATTAAATAAGCGTTCAAAGTTTGTTTTAGATAAAGTGTATGCACATAATGCATATTATAGGTATTATAGGTAATGTATAAGTAGGTATTAATATTTGAATTTTTAAATAATATTATGCTTATCATAATCAAAGACTTCCACTCGTAAAATATGCGTTTATAATTGTATTACACAATACTTTACTCTGTAAATTGTCATTATACCAATCTTTTAAATATGCGTGAATTTTGGTACTTGTTTAAGAGTAAAACGTCACTAATTTGAATTATTTATACATTTATAATTTACGTTAAAAATTTAAATCATGCATGTAAGTGCATATAAATTGTAATTTAATGTTACATACTTATTGACGATATAATATTGATTAAAAAGTTTACACATTACATTGTTCACATAGACCTGTCTCTCATCACATCACATCCACTATAATAATATGAAAATGATAAACAAAGAGTAATCGAGTTCATAGAAAATTTGACATATTAATAGTATGATTTAGAGTTAAAACTGTTACTTTTACCCCCTATTTAACGTTGTTATTATTAATTTCATTTTGTATAATTTTAAGTAAGAAAAAACTTCAAATGTAAAATACATAGGTCTTTATTATATTTCCCCAGTTGTCGCTTGTCGTACAATACAGCGAGGAGCAAGTAATTAACCATTGACGGTTTGTGTGTCATTGAATCAAAACATTGAAATGTATATACAAATAAACAGCATAAAACAATTATTTATTTTTATACCGCCTATTAATAATAACTATACAAAGGTACGTAAATTATTATAAGCCTTTTATTTTTTATTTTTCGATTGTTTATAATGTAATAATAATGGCATTCATTGCATTGCTAACGCATAAGAAACGCATACTTCCTATGCCACGTTGTAATTTTTTTTATTTTTATTATTATTCTTAATATTAAAACTGATATAATTATTATTAAATTTATGCTCTCTGTTATAGTATGAGCATAATAAATTTAAGCTAACAGTATTAAAACAAGCGTAGTCATAAATCTGCGAATTGTGGCGTGGGTGGGTCGTAGGTTGAGCGGGGAGGAGGGGTTGTTCCGTCCTGTGGAAAATGTTTATTATACGAGGCATAGATACACAGTTTTAACAATGATCCGATTACAAAACTTTTCGGGTTGAGCAAACGATAAAACGAAACATACATGCTTTATTTTTGCATAAATGTCACATATTATACGAGTGCAAGCAGTGGCACAGAGTTAAATTTGAATTCGTGTGGTTGTGGGAAAGGCAAGGTGAGGTAAGGTGTAAGGTGAGGTAAGGCATGGTAAGGTGTAAGGTGCAGGTGAACATCACGCCCTTTGCCTAACATCGCCACTCTCCTCATCGCACCCCCGTACGACATTATTTCGTGGTGTTCGGTGCCCACCGAGTGCAAGTGTTGTTAAACGTCACAATAATATATATATGTATGTAGTACGATAATGGATTTGGTAACATCAAAAATCGATTTGGTGAGTGTTTCTCGTCGTTCGGAAACGTTACAGTTGCACATAAAAATGACTGCAGGGGTTTATTTGTTAAACACGAGTTCGAATGTATACCTATAGTGGTTGTTAAATATTTTAACGGCATATAAATTTCATTTGGAGAAATTAAACACTAAAAAGTTGACATTTGCTACAGGTAAATTCGTTCGTAATTTCGTTATTATGCAATCAGTTTTTTTTTTTAATTTGATCAGTTTTTTGGCAAATAATAATTACTAACTGCTGGGATTTATATAAATCTCATTAAAAATATCCAAAAAATTAATCTTATTAAATAATATATTTCTAGTCATGTTTTCATCAATAAATTAAAAATTGATATTTAATTACGTGTCATCTGCAATATTAAACTTGATTGATAATTCAAAAAAAACTTTCACAAATATAATACCTATAATATGTTATGATATTTTTATGAGACCATGTTTCATTTGTCATTTACACGACTGTTGTGGTGGTTGAGAGAGGACAGAGATTGTACATTGTATAATAATCTATCATAATTTTTAAATGTAGTCAACCGTTGTTGTTATTTTCTAGTGTACTATCTCCACGTTTGTCAGTCGAGTATGGGACTATTCAATCGATCAATGAATCAATGAAGAATGATCTATGTACCTACCTATGATCGCTTGGTACAGCTTACCAGTTATCATAAGGCTGCATCATAAAAACAAATTGCTTACACATTTTGAAGACAATATGCTAATGTTGTCTATACATTAGTTCATTTCTTACAAGTAGGTAAATACTTTTGAAGTTTGGTCGCAAGCTAAGTTGTGTATGGTTTATGTTTAAATAATAAACTAGGTAGCGGAAAAAATGATTACATAAATTATTGCGCTACTGGTTTGTCGAAAAGTAAATTACTTATTCAGTTTCGAGAAAACCAAAAGACGAACGGTTTAAATTTAGCAAAATATTGTTGTGTAATCTATTTTTCCTTAACTTTATCATAATTCAAACATAAAGAAGAAATGATTAAGAATACTCGAAATTCATCACTTTAGTTTTTATAACTGTTGTATAAGCCTCTTTAAATTTTCGATGTTGTTATAACAGCGATGACGTATAATAGCAATCTCTGAAGATGAATATTTGGCAATTGTTTTGAGTACCGGGCGTAACTAATAAGTAATAACTTTGTATAAGTTTAATAAAACTAAAAAAAACCAGTAAGTAGTTTATCTTGATAAATAAAATGTATGGTTTAAGTTTATTTGTTTAAACTTTAATTTATCGTATTGTTTATGCTGTATATGTATTTGTAAACACACCGGAATCGTTTAATTTGTCTGGAATACATAATATTTAACTGAATATAGGAATTACATTTTTAACACGATCTGTATGAACACATTACGTTTTATGCGCATTTTGTTTGACATATTATTTCAATTTGATTCGAATAATAATTATTATCGTACAAATAATTTAATTGGCCTAATTAGCTTGTATACATATTGAATGCTGTAATAGATTATTATCGTCTACGTAATTTTCAAACATCAAGTTTTCATCTACAGCTCTAGACATAACATTATAATCTGAATTAACCTCGTCACCATGTTGTTTTAATAATATTTAAATTTAATAGTTTGATATATATTTGGTAGCTATATAAAAAAAAGTTTCTTTTAGATTGGTGTGAGACGCACTTCCCACAAATTACTAAGACTACTTGCAATCGAGCTCCGTCGGATTTGACCAGCGGTAGAATGGAAGTAATTGAGTTATAGTTTAGTGTTACAATGTAGTTGAAAATTACTTACATGGTCGACATTTATAATCGACTTGAATGAACTTTGGGTGGCCTGGACAAGGATCGTATTTGCCCACAGATGGCTGAACTCTGCATTGCTGTTTTTTCTGACACGCCTCTACCACAGTTTGTAGCAGCGAATACTATAATAATAACATAACAATAAATTACCTCCACATCATGAAACGTTTACTACAGCATAGGGTGATCTGAAAAGGTGTTTTGTATTTGACGGGATTTGGGATATTGTTTTGAATATACAATTCAAAACCAAAACAGTGCCAAAATAAAATAAATGTTCAACATCTTTATGATTTTATGGACATTTTAATGTGATATGATTATCTCTATTTATTCGTATGTAGATAATAGATTACAGAAGTCTGTAATACACGTATAGGTATTAAATTAAAGTTCAATAGCTTTATGGATAAATAAATATATATTAACCATATAAATAATTTATTATGAATAATGTATATTATAAGCGTTTTAATGTATTTATTTTACTCTTGTAAAATCATTTTGAATATGCCACATTGCCATTATAATGACATTATGGAGGGTTAAATTAGACGGCGTTGATCGATTTCTTATTAAATATTAAGAACTTAAATATATTTCGTAAATATCACCGTGTATACAATTTAAATTTGCCGATTTTCATAACTCGTATAAGTATAACAACCTATTATTTAAGTTAACAAAAAAATCAAAAAAAAAAAAGATTCAAGTTCAGTTTTAGTTAAATTGTTTTCAAAAACAAAAAAAATAGTTTACATTGAATGATATAAATATTAAATTGTAGTGTTTTAAATAAAGAATACAATTGGTACCCAGTTGAATATAGTACATAATATTTATACAATATTTTCATATAGTGTTGAATATATATTTCTATTTCACCTGCAGTTATGCAAACCGTTTAATCACCTAAAAATGGATTTTTTTTATTTAACTTTATATTCATCTATTTCTGTAATTTATAAATTCACAATAACTACATATAGGTGTGTTCTTATCGAAAAAATTCTGTTATATTTTGAATCCTCTTTCAACAATCGTAGTTTGGTAAGTAATTGTATTACAATTATTAGATTTCATATTATAATATTAATAATCATATAGGTATATTTTTATTAGTCCTTAACTGTATAGACAAATTATTAATACGAAATTTCAATAGTAGAAAAGAATAAAATAAAAAATTCATTGATTACGTATAAATTATTTTATAATAGGTAGAACAAATTTGAATATTAAAGCATTTGTTCATTGTAACGTTATTTTTTAGATTTAAAATCTTTTAATTCAATTTTTAAGTACACTTTTCTTATAGGAATTATTCAAATTTTTATTTTTATTCAACCAGAAAGTCACGTTGAATAATAATAATGTATATTTTGCTTAACTTCTTTCTTTATTTTATACCTTAAGAGATGCTAGGAATATATAGGATTTTTAAATTTAGTTTTTATCTGCTATTATTCTTATCTGTATTAAAATAGTGATTTAAGCCTCTAAATTATTAATTTTGATCTGTATGTCTAACCAGTAATGCATAATGTTAAACAATTTAGTATTTATTGTCAATTACCTTTAAAACAAAATAATATAAAATTGTAAATATTAGTTTAATAACATTTTCCACTAATGAAATAGTGGTATAAAAAAATATAAAAAAAATAATGAAATGTATCTTATTATATTTTGTTGTTTTTAGGTGTTATAGTGAAGTAGGAGAGGGGATGCAAAATATATGGTCTACAATTTTAAGACATTTTATTTTGATTGGTTTGCAGTGTCCACAATATTTGAAACCACTGATCCAGGTATAATATTATGTTTGAACTGACAACATAAAACATATACGTTTTATATTAAATGGTATTTTATAAGTCATTTTTCGATTTTATCAGTTGGTAGTTCCCACGAGTCCAAGGAAAAACTACAGCAAATTTCTATCAAATGGTGAATTTTACAGCATAAAATAATTACGATGAATTTAATCAAAACAAAGTGTGTAGGTAATGACGATATTCGTTTTTATAGAATTTGTGGTTTGTATTTTAAAATGTAAATACATTTTTTGTGGTTTTTTTACGGTAATTAATAAATTTCAAACGCTAAATGCTTATTGTTTAAAATTTCGGTGTAAATTGCAAATAGATACTAAATAAATTTATATTGTACGTGCAAAATACAAACATTATATTTGTACATTACTGTGGTTGGATGAATATTGCTCTAAAATACCAAAATGACATTTTGACATTTCACTATAAGAAATGTGCCTGACAAATCCTTATGTTCGATAATATATGTATATTGTACATTGTACCTACTACATTTACATTTACACACATTCAAACTCGTGCATATGCCTATACAAAATGCGATGGCGCATCTAGTAAGCATTTCGAGGGATATTTCTAAGAACATTGTGACGTCGATGTGTTGAAATAAATCTCAGATCTGATAAAAAATAAAATAAAATACTATAACTTAAAAAAAAGAGATTTTGTATTTTAAAGTTTAGTGTTCGGAGATGACATCTGAAATAAGTATGGTTTTGTTATTGTTTTTTAAAATCATTAATAATATCAAGGGTTATATATCTTCAAACTATAACTTAAAATATCTATTTAGATGCATCGACATTTTGAAAAAATCATCGGGTAACATTCAACTATAAGAAAGTACTCAATAAAAATAATGAATAGAAATTTATTTACTGGGCACTAGTCAGTTAAAACTGAGAAGTCTGAGTATTTAAAATATGGTCATTAAGGAGTCTAATTAACAATTCCAATAATCAGAATTCGAATGGATGTATAATTAAAGGGTGAAATTGATGGAGCATGAATGGCGAATCACTTTGTACAGTACTAATATACACACAGATCTAAAATATGTTGTTTATCTCTTATGCGATTATGTATACAAAGTACAAACTTCTCGAACAAAATATTTAATTTCTACTCGTATCATTTACCCCATTGTTTCATTGCATCGATTTTATCAACCGACGTTGAATACAATTATATTTTACGACGGTAATTATGAGTGTGATGATAAAAGCTGCGAAACAAAATTGAAAAACTACAGGACTTAGAAGTATTAAAAAAAAGTACTTTCGGAAAAACTTGCTCGTCAACGCTAAATGGTAAGATGTTGTAATTTCCAATTGTTCTTAAAATATTTTATTCAAAATGCGATTATGAAATTCAATTCCCAATTTCAGAATAACTACGTTCAATGTTTATTAAATTAAAACTATAAATAGTTAATTTACATATTATTGTATTATTTTTATCTGAATTGAACTAATTATATTCAATTATGCATTACGTGGTAATTAGATAATTATTTTTTGTTTGTTCTCTTTTGGTTTTTTTTTCAATTATTATTTCATTAAAAATTATTTACTTGTAAAAAATATGTGCCAATACCTTTGTCAGTTTTCATAAATCATAATAGTGTTCAATAATATTCATGTTCTGCAATAATAAATGTTATAAAAGGCAATTGTATAATTTATAACAGTGTAATTTACTGTGTTTTAACTTAATAGTATTTTAATTCATACCTATGAAGTATGTAGTGTAATATGGAATTAAGATATAAAATATTATTTTTTATTCGATTCAGCAAGTCATTATGTACAACTTGTAATGCCTTTATTTCGTTTTAATCATATTTTATTCAGTCGATATATTTCTGTTTTATAATTTTCTATTTATACAAGTCGCAAATAATCTATTATAAAAAACAACAGTAGGAATAAAGACGATTCTTTACTACGATGCTTTTATATATTTACTCAACATACTTATTACGGGTACATGCTCTGAAAGTATGAACAGTGAATACATTGTACAACATTAAGTTAACGCGTAATTAAAACTATAAATGTGTCAGCCAAAATTATGGAATAATACGTAGACGTTCATATTATATTGGACTTGGTGTGGTAACTATGTAGGTATTTTATATTATTTAAGTTTCTACGTCAAAAACTTAATTTAATTTGATTTATTTATTTAACACTTTATATGATATGAAATATAGTAGAAAAAAAGTTTGAAATTTATTAAAAATTTAAGTGAATTGGCATATACACAAGAAAAATAACACATTAACTCATTAAACTTATTACTTATATATGTATTATATAGGTAGTTAATTAAACAAAACAACTGTGGTAAATGGCTTCTTTTAAATATGCATTAAGCTGTAACGGTAAACAATAGAACAATTGAAATAATTATATCACACTTAATAAATTAAATACGTTTATTTATAATGAAATACGGTAGTTTGTATTATTTTGTGAACGTTTCAAAAAGCTATGGAAACTATAACTTTAATCGTTAACCGAACATTATAATTACAGGACATGTGATAAAACTTTGAATTTGATCTTAATTAGTATTCCAAAAATTGTTGTGAAATCTAAACTCATGTAACCCATTCAATAACTGAAAAGTAAAGGATGTACCAAATAAACGGTTTTTTTAGCACTATAATTACCTAATTAATAATTATATTATACAATTCTGAAGCGGTTCAAAATTTAATTTAAGTTTAAATTCTCTGTCTTGGATCTGATGATATTGATTATTAAGTTATTAATTTTGTATTATATATTTATATTACATAATATTAGTATATATATTATCATATAATGTGATACCTACCTATATTAGTTATGTTGGTAGTATTATTACTGTATGTAATATAAATTATGATTTATTGTTTAACTTTCATGAATAATTATAGTTAGGTATGAAAATTTGATGACAATCATCATTCACCGAAATTCATTGATAATAATTATTGTTAATATGTAAATATATTCTTCTTGTTCTTGATCGCATGGTCTATCTCTATAGGCCATTTTAAGACCATCCCGTCATACCTACACCCAACCCTCAAATTATCCCAATAAACTGCTCGTGTTTTCCATTGTAGTCCTTGCTGTATGCAAGTGGCTAGGAATCCTGTTGTTAATGGTTTTTAATAAATGGTTGGTAAAAAATTTCCAAGAATCAACGAAATTATATTTTATTTCTATTAATTTAAACAAAATCATAACGTGTACAAGCTGTATTGATATAAGTGCCGTAAAAGTGCCCAGGCT